TATTTCAGGTTGACAATCTAAATTATCAATTTTGTTTTGGTTTTGTAATATAGTGTTATCGTGTTTTGGGAAAGAATATTCATCTTTGACTATATTTTTTTAATACAGAATTTTATGTTCATCTTTGACTCTTTTTGGAGGGAAAAAGTGATGTATAGTGTTTTTTAAAAATCGTGGAGGAAAAAAAAACAGTGTTGCAGCCAAATCTAGCAGAAGAAGACGAATCATCAGTCATCACATCTGCAAATTCATATATCGTAAGATTCGCATTTGTCGTGGAGATATCAGGACTCTCCAGCGTAGTCAGAGAAGGTCGATCGGATTTAAAGCTTTCCGATGAGATTCTATCGGTAATTCCGACAGATCCATTCGAACAGCTGGATCTCGCGAAGAAGATCACGTCCATGGCGATCGCCTCTAAGGTTTCTAGCCTAGAAGCCGAGGCGGTCGAACTGAGGCAGAAACTGCAGAAGATGGAGATGTGTAGACACGAGCTTGAGAGCAAGGCGTACCGTTACGAGAGAGATTTTCGAGAAGCCGATTCAAGGTTGAAGACTGTCCTCCATGATAACGTGAGCACTTGTGTTATATTCACATCTCTATGATCCTTTTCCCCTCAAGAATCACATCACACTCTAATGGCTTTGATTTCTAATATTTTTTTTATGATGAAGATGAATCTGACAAAGGAACGTGATTTACTTGCAACCACTGTATCGAATCTGAATCGTGAAATGGCTAAGGTGAAGATGCTTACTACTTGTCTGTATCTTTTTTTTTTTTTTTTTATATTGTTGGATTTGTCAAAGCAAGAAACAACTAAACCCTTGTGTCTTTTCATATTATCAGTTGGAGACATTCAAGAGGCAATTGGTTCAATCCCTAAGTAATGATGAGACTGAGACTGAGACTGCTCCGGTAAAGATTTATTTGTTTTTTTTACAGAGTTTTTGCCACTACATATTCATTCTTCTTCTGTAACTTCGTCTTCTCCTTTTATATATATTTATTACACAGAAAACAGAATCGGTTGATATCAGGACATATGACCAGTCGGTTCCTGTGTCTTCTTATCAAGACAAAGGTATTAAGATTAGATGCCAATGCAGTTCTTATTATCACGATGAATGAGTTAAGTTGTTTTATTTGTTTGGCACTGAGATAACTCACTTTTTCCTGTTTTTTTCTTCCTATTTCTCTTCAAAGCTGACCAAAGGACAAGGTTCCACCATTCTTACAGTAAATCCGTGGACATGACTCTTCCAGTTGACGAATGTAATTCTGGATTATTACAGCTAGACAAGTCTTTTATGATCCATTTCAAAAACAAATTGCGCTGATGTTTTTACTTATTAGCAGATTCAAAGTACACAGGACCAAGATTTTCTGTTTCTCCCTGGATGACGCCTGATATATTCTCCCCTCGAAGTAATTCTACTGCAGGATCTCCCAAGAGAGCTTCTGGTGCAATGCCTCCCACAAATACACATTCTGAAAGCCAAAAGACAACTCTTTGGCACCCCTCAACATTCTCAAGCCACCAATCATCAGCCGCAAATTCTCCTCCTCGTGGCCTCCCACTTCCAGGTTAGGTTCAAATTCATAGGGCTATTTCATATGTTTACTTTCTCTCTGATGGTAATGCATAAACTTACGCAGCAGCTCGTACACCTCGTATTGATGGCAAGGAGTTTTTCCGTCAAGTCAGGTTATTAGCCTTTTAATCCTATATTATTGTATGACCTTTGGGGTCAGTACGTTGCGAATATAGATAGCCTTAACCTGTGAAGCAAGCAAGCATCTCATTCTCTGATCTCTGTTCCTCATCATGCAGAAGCCGATTGTCGTATGAACAATTCCGAACCTTCTTGGCTAACATTAAAGAGCTGAATGCTCAGAAGCAAACCCGAGAGGTAAAGCCAAGAGCCCCTTTTCAATCTGCTTTTTGCAAAGTGTGTAATATACACATTACAAAAAAAATGTTATGCGTTTGTTAGGAAACTCTGAGAAGAGCCAATGAGTTATTCGGAACAGATAACAAAGATCTTTACGTGTCTTTCCAAGGACTTGTCACCAAGAACAAGAGCTAGACCGAAAAAAGCTGCAATCACAGATTCTTCATGACTCTTGGATCCGAAACTAAGTTAATTTGTTGTTACCTTTTGAATTGTTCCTGTATGTTTTCTATCTTCTAAACTCAAAAAAAAAAAACACTAAGCCAATTTATGTACACAAGCAGCTGCTTGAAATAACAATGAACTCCTCTGTTTCAGTTTGACACTTAAAAGAAGGCACAAGAGATGAATTATCTATTTGATCTAAGGATCGGCCCATTGGGCCTGAACATACATATTTGGAAGCCCATAAGTATAATGACCGCGAAAATTGCACTTAGTCACAGAGTCCGTCCTCCTTAGTGGGAGAGTATGTATGTAATGTATCTTTTATAAGAATCTGCTAGGAAAAATCGTAGTGCTGATCTTCCTCGGAGAAGTTGTTTTTTATCTTGTATTCTTTTGTGTATTGTCTAATCTTTGTCAGACAGTTTTAAAGTGGTAGATTTGTGTTTCATTGTAGTTGGTGAGGATTGTGCACAGAAGGTGTTTGATAGAATGTCTAAACCGTTATTGTACAGAAGGTGTTCGATCTCTTCCGGTCTGATCCAAATTTTGAGAATTGATTCGCTTAGAGAAACTGAAAATTTTGTGTTGTTTACTGGAGAGTCATCTAGTAGATCGCAATGGACGTTTGTTCAGGTGAGACACAAGTCTGGTGGAGGAGGATGGAGACCCAAGAAGAAAGTATATCATAGAGTTCATGAGCTTGATAAAGCAATAGACTTGAAGAAGAAACCAACACTGATACTTCAGTTGAAATCCATTATTCAGGCGCAGAAACACGGAAGCCTTCTTCTTAGGGATCTTGAGAAGCATGTTGGCTTTGTTCACAAGTGGAACTTAATGGCTGCTATTGAGAAATACCCTTCGATATTTTATGTTGGTGGTGGAAACAAAGAACCTCCTTTTGTTATGCTGACTGAGAAAGCTAATAAGATTGCATCTGAGGAAGGTGAAGCTACAGAGTCAATGGAACCTGTTCTCGTCAAGAATCTTAGGAAGTTATTGATGATGTCTGTTGATTGTCGAGTGCCTTTGGAGAAGGTTGAGTTTATTCAGTCTGCAATGGGTTTACCTCAAGATTTTAAGACTACATTGATCCCTAAGTACCCTGAGATTTTCTCTTTGAAGGTTATCAATGGTAAAGTTAATCTTGTTTTAGAGAATTGGGATTCTTCACTGGCAATCACAGCACGAGAGGATAGGTTATTCCGTGAAGGGGTCCTCGAGCCAATTGGGGATAGAAAGAAGCTCAGGATCACAAAGGATGGTAATTTCTTTGGACGAAATGCGTTTAAGATTTCTTTTCCTCCTGGTTTTAGGCCTAACGCTAGTTATTTAGAGGAATTTGAGAAGTGGCAGAAAATGGAATTTCCATCTCCGTATCTTAATGCGAGAAGATTTGATGCCGCAGATCCTAAAGCTAGGAAACGTGTTGTAGCTGTGCTTCATGAACTGCTCAGTTTAACAATGGAGAAGAGAGTGACCTGCGCACAATTGGACGCCTTTCACTCCGAGTATCTGCTTCCATCAAGACTAATACTTTGCTTGATAAAGCATCAAGGGATCTTCTACATCACTAACAAAGGAGCAAGGGGTACAGTATTTCTCAAAGAAGCTTATGCTGGTTCTAATTTGATCGAGAAATGCCCGTTGATATTGTTCCATGATAGATTTGTTGCACTCTGTGGCCGGAGAGAAGTCAATCTATCTAATGAATTGCAGTGTTCAAGTATTATCTCCTAATCTCATACACCCTTAGATTTGGACCCCCAACCCCAAGGCATATTACCCGTTGGGCCATGAACCTTATGATCATTTCACTGTATCATTTCTTCTTAGAGTCATTGTCTTCTCATGTGAAGAAAAGAAACGTACTTGTTAAGATATAAACTTTTCACCAACGAACAGAAGCGTAAATAGTATCTGTTGATTGAGGATGCTAAAATGATGAAAGCCAGAAAGTGTCACAGCGTCTGATATGGTACAATGGGAGATGTGACTGGCTTATTTGACTATGTACTGTGAATGAGATATGAACTATCTTGTCCATGTGGAGGTTGTGGATGCAGGAAGTATTATAATACACTTGTATTTATCTCTCTGTACACGACTCTCTTGAATGTTTTCTGGAGAAAACGATAACGGAATCTTCTTCGTGTTTACACACGACGGAACATTTATTTGAAATGCAGGGAAAGGGGGTCCAGGAACTCATGTGGCTTGTGAAGGCATCATGGGAAAAGAGCCAAAGGGAAAGACAATTAAGTCGCACTCCAAGATCCCCCCGTTTTAGACCTGAGTCGCATTCATGTTCAGACAAAAAAAAGAAAGAAAGAAAGAAGAGGTCAGTGTTTTCATTATTATTATTATTAGCCTCTTTTATTTTCTTTTACAGTTTCATGGTAAAATACACAGTGCATTAGATTATAACAACCAAGACCTGTCTCGTTCTTTTCTGCTTGCTGGCCCCGTTTTTGTTTCTACATTGAAAGCCATCATTTTATTAAACAACAAGACTCTCTTTTTCATGGTGTTGAATGGTAATAGGCTGCTGATACATCAATTTTGCTTTGCTTTGTTGGATAAACGACTATTAAACATTTGGTTTCTCGTGATAAAACTGCCGAGTTACTTGTCTGTTTTTGTTCTTAGTAAGGTTCCGTGTCTTGTTTGAACATGTTAAGCAACCTATATATAGTCGAAACCTATCAATTTGAAACCCATGTAAAACACCTATTGGCACAAAAGAAAATCCAAAGTCAGATTCTTTTAACTTTAACAAGTAAATGGATTCCTGTCCTTGTCATTTGGCATCTCCATCCAAATGAAGGGTACACAATTCAAAGCATAAAGACAAGATCTTGAGGCTGATTGAAGCATCAAGATCAATGAAACAACCTACCCCCCATCTTTGAATTTAGTTTTTTGTTCCCATTTCCTTTTCTACCTTGATAAAAAAGCCAAATCACATTACCAGGACGTGAGGATCGATCCGCTAACATCTGGACGTATCAACCACGAATTGGAATCGATACGCTGATGTTGCATTAGGTCACAGAAAACTACTGACAAAGACTTAAAACCACACTCTTTGATATTTGAATTTTCTTTCATTGTAAATACTGCTTACTATTATTGATAGATCAGGGTATACAGACAAAGACGTTGGCTTTCTTTTCATTTTAAGAAAAGAAGAAACCAAAGGGAGCCCCAATTAGAGATACTTTGGGATGATGATGCATAAGAAGCAAGTTGACACATAAAAGATCAAAACTTTAGGTGTATCGTTTTCATGTATGGGTGGGGAGAGAGGCTTTATTTGTGATTTCTTGGGGACAAAATTCTATGGTCCATTATTGTACTGTGGTCCTACAGTCCCCAACCATTTTTCTGTGAATTATGTGTTGTACTGTTTTGGACAGAAGAACACATCATGCAAAATCATCCCCCCCTCTTATATTATTTCCTTTCCTTGTTTGGTCCAATCTGTAACAAATCTCTCTCTCTCTCTTTCTCTTTCTCACTCTGCTTTTTTTTCTTTTCGAAAAATCGTTTTCAGCATTTCCATTCTAATTCAGTTATCAACAAAATAATCAAAGTACATTCTCCACAAGTATTATGTACTCCTTTCTCTGTATAGTAGTAGTAGTAGTAGTAGATCTTCACCTTAACGCATCTGACTTAATTGATATAACTATATCCCCAACCTAATTGCATGATTATGCTAGCAATAAATATTGCTTTAGTGGTCATTACTTGGTATTGATTACAAGAATAAAGGTGCCATCTTCCGCCTGAAGCTCCTCATGCATATGTCTCTTCTTTTTTTAACAGTTTACTTACTCCATTTCTCTTTTCGACATAGACATTGTACAAAACTTTGACATTGTACAAAACATAGACATTGTACAAAACTTTGACATTGTACAAAAGTAAATCATAGACATTGTACAAAACTTTTGATTTCTCCATTTCTCTTTTCGTGTTTCTTTTGGATACCCATATCTTTTTTCTATTGTTTCTTGATACCCACATCAGCACTTTAGTTGCCTTTTCCCAACAAAATATCTTTTTCTTTTTATTCCAATTGACATAGTCCAATCTGATTTCCCTAATGACGACTATCCATCACATGAAAATAGAAAAGAGAGGACTACCATTAACATTAAACTATCATATGTATAGATAATATGCTTTATGTAAAACCTATTCCATCTTGGTTGGATATGATATCTGCCCACTAACCCCAACCAAACTACATAAATGATTTGGGTAGTTGGCTTTCTTTCTCCTCTTTTACACTTTTTTTTGTAATTTCTCTTCTTTTATAATTTGGGACATGTATGGGTGCCTAATATAGACAAGAAAGAACTATTACAAAACACTTTCCTATACACTTTTCTCTGTTCGATGGAGAAAAAAGGTATCCATTAACAGTTAATAGTTGTGGGGATGGATATCAGAGTGAAAAAAGAGAGAGAGCAATCATATTTCCATAAACTATAGGTATTCAGATGGATCTATACTCTATAACCACCACATTACCACTCTTTTATATCTCTCTTCTTAAATCAGCAAAAATCAAGTTCCAAGTAAATGATGTTATGACATAAATAATATAGCATTATTATATACAGAATCTAACATCAATTCTGCACAAAAAAAGAAGAAGAAAAAAAAACAATTAGAGGAACATATGTGCAGGTCAGATTGTGATCACAATGATTCATATATTGCTGTGACTTGTGAGAAAGAAAAAGAAAGTGAAACTCTTTTTGAGGTCTCAAAAATCTAATTCACATGAGGTTTGCAGTGTTGTATGGTTCAGTGGGATAAGACTGATTGTTAACTCTACATATATATATATATATATATATTCTTCTTTTGTTTATATACAAGTCTCAATAAATTATTCATCTTTTGAATTGGATGGTACTAATGATGAGAAATATAAACCAAATCCCTCTTGTGGCTTTTTCTGCAGTGACTTTCACAAGACATCACACCAAAATCCACTCGGTGTAAAAAAGAGAAAAGGAAAAACAAATACTCGCACTTCTTTTTTATTTTGGCAAATCGTATATCCTTACCACCACTAACACTTGTCAATATGTATTATGTTGGGTTTTCAATGAAAGAAATATAAAATGAAAAGAAGGTCGTAATCGTAACAAAGATATCTTGGAAACGAAGACAATAGAGCGATCTACTACTAATCGTTGTCGACAATTGATGTCTACTACTACTAATATAGGACTTTGCTACCTACATAATTTTTGAGCCACTAAGAATAGTTATTATGTGTTTTATTTTCAAACAGACAGGCGATAACCCAAAAAAAAAAAAAAAAGTCATAGGCTTAAAAGGAATTGGGTTTGGGGGTAATCTTCACTTTGAAATTTGAACTCTCTTTTTTTCTTTTTCGTTTTTTTTGTGGGATTGTTGTCATTACGATTCACGTCATTGACAAGCAGAGCGTGTTACATAAAAGGCTTAAGAAAAAGAAAAAAAAAAAAAAAGGGGGAGGAGGAGAGGTGACAAATGCGTGTTGTTCACATTGGGACAAGGTTACAATCATAAGGTGATAGAAGAGGAAACCCATTACAAAATCAAACTAAATCGAAAATTTCGAGAAAGAAAGGTTAAACCAAACCCAACAAAGAATGCAAACTTCAAAAAATTATTTGCTATGACATATCGAAGATGTCTTCGCCCCACCATCGATAATCAAATCCTCTTCTAAGAAACGGCCTTAGAAGTAACATAAATTCTATGACCAAATTTCCTCAAACAATAAAAAGATTACAAAAATAAGATGGAAGAATATAAAAAAAAAATAGTTTTACTAGGTATTGTCTTAGGACATAGAACAGAAAAGGTATATAAAGCTACCAAAAACCAAAACAAAAAACAAAAACAAATAAGGGGGTAAGTAGTGAGGTTGGACCATATTGATGAGTGCCCCCTTTCACAAGGTAATCTATAAAGTTTTTGGTGTTCCCCATCCAATCCAATCCATCATTACCCCTCCCCTCTCACATCATTCTATTTCTCTCCTTTTAATTAACAAATCATTTGAGTTTTGCTTATTAATAAAAAAAACATCACTTAATATTTATTTAATTAGAATTCAAACAATGAAAAAACAATCGGTATAATATAAATTGATAAAAATAATTAAAAAATATTAAATATTTAATAGAATTACGAAAAAATCATTTATTTTAGAAAAAATAAATTTTAGAAAATCATGTATTTTTTTTTAACGGAAAGAGTATATCGTGTATATGATGCCACTAACGTGTGGTATATATATCGATTTTGTTTAGTGGTTTGTTGCACTCGTAAAGATGATGTACGATCCCTCGTTGATTTAAATCTTTGTTATATTTTATGTAGTAGCTAATCGTTGTATGCATTATTATTGAATTCACATGATATGTTATTATATGTTTCCACGGTTTACTATTCTTTCTTTTTCTTTCTTTTTTTAACACACATCTGCTCGCAGTGAATCAAATAGTTTTTTTTTTTGTTTTTCTCTTTTTGTTTTATGAATAGTTTTCATCTCCAAAAAAAAAAGTAATAGTATAGCCTACAATGTAAAAGTAAATTAAGAAACCCCACAAAAGCTCAAGTAATGGGGGAAAATGGAATATGGGTGTCAAAATAGAAAAATAATATAAAAGGAAAAGAAAATGAGAAGTGGACAAGTTGCATGACACACAAAACCATAACACCATCCACATGAACATTTGCAATATATCCCCTTCCTCCCCATCACTTTACATCCTCAAGTTTTCCCACTTTTCCTTCGTTTGTTTCGCTCTCCATTTTTTATAATAAATTTTATATATATATAAAAGCATAATCGTAGAGAAATGGTCCATAGATTCTTCAAAACTCTTGCAAATTAATTTTAAAAATAAAAAAATATATAAAAAATTTGAAACAAACATCAATCGGTCAAGCGTCACTCTCTTCTTCTATCTTTTGTTTTTGCTCCATTTGTTGCTTAGTGTCTACGTGACGATTGGTTCCCTTCCCTTCACATTTCAAATTAATCACCAAGTTTTGGATAAAGTTGGAGATTACTTTTGTCCCAAAGTGCTCTCGAACCCAATGCCAATAGTTATAACCAGTATTTTCATTTGTTTTTTTGGTGGAGGTTGAGTAAGACCCTCTTAATTGGAATCTTTAATACTGGAAAGATAATATATATATAAAATACGAATTTAGATAGATAGATAGTGTATATATAAATATCTACTAGGATCCTATATTTTGATTCATGCATGGTCGGAATGTAATTGGAGCCAAGATGCACGCTCAGATTAGCTAGCTGATTGCGCTCGGTTGCAGGAAAGAAGATTCATATATATGGGGAGCCTTACTTTGTTAGTTTAATGTTTCTTCACATTCACAAACCTCACATGTATATATGTTCCTCGATGTTTTACAAAGTTTAGATTTCTCTATATCGAATTGCATGCAACACACTAGAATCGATCACATGTTAATTAGTTCATGTATGTATATAAATTAAGGATGTTACATAATTGTAAGTGGAAGTTTTTATACCTCTCTTTAATTTGTTTTCATGACATCTGATGGTGCGATATTTATGCCAACCTAATTAGGTTAATATATTTTATTTTCTTTCGGCTATATAAAAATACTAAAATAGTTATATATATATATATATATATATATATATATATCATGGTCTTTGTCTAACTTAACGTGTGTATGTTTTCTGAATAATTCTATTAGTAGATAATTTATATATATTGAACGTTTCAAAAATGTTATGATTTAGAAAACTGAAACTCCATTGGTTGATCCGCCTGTGAATGCACAAAGTGAAAGATGTCTACATCTTTAATACTGTAGTATATACAAATCAGAAACCCACTTAAGAATCGTATGATGATGATGATTAACATATTAATATTTCATGTTATTTTATTCTCTACGCACGAAAAATTATGGACATATAAATTTGGCTTTATAAGGAGGACTTAATTATGCTTATTATTATGATTATTCGTGCGACGAGTATATCCTCTTTAATGTTGCCATGATCTCTCTTCAGTCTTCACATCACTTTCTCGTGTCCTCTCCCCCTTTTCTTTCTTTCGTTTCTTGTTTGTTTTATTATATGTAAATCTCTTTCTTTACAAATAAAGATATTTATTTCTTTACAAATACCTATATTCAGCAGATTAATCATAAATAAACATCTTTTAAAAGCAACTTTCAAATTATATATTAATGATACAATTTGATTAGAAAAAGATAATTATAGTCTTTGTCATACTATACTAGTAGTAGAAAAACACCAAAACACTATGACATATACTTGTATTTTAAATTTATTTTGTCAAAAGATAAGATCATTAACAAAACTTGTAACATGATAATATGTGTTTCATCTACCTACACAGTTTAATGCAATGTGATAACTATATGTGAATAATTCATATATGTTTTTTTTTCCTAATCCAACCAGCAGTGCATTTTTGTCGGATCATAGAAATCATATTGTTTTAAAATTAAAAAATAGTTTTCAGTATAATATATATTAAATATACTCGAATCTTTGATTTCTTAAACAATAAAATTGTGAGAAAATAGAAAATTGTAAAAACAGTAGGAAAAAAGAAAGAGAGAGAGAGAGAGTGTCAGGAGGAAGAGGGGGGAGTTACAATGAAATGAAGGACGAACAACAGCGACATTTGCGCGCGTCCGACGTGTCAGCTTTTTACCTCTTCCACTGTCTCTTTCCCCGTCTTCTCTACGCGTCTTTGCCGGCGCGTATCTTTCACGCCCTATCACTCTACTGTTCTTTTGTTTCTGTCCCACCCAATTATCGTATTCTGTTCCCCCCCCCCCCTTCTTCCCTTTTCTCTAATTTTCTTTCCTCTAGTTTTGGGATTTATTATTGTTTTCCGAGATTAAAAAAAAAGATATTACTAACAATAATAATACAAGTGTAATCAAAAGAAAAATAAAAGAGGGTTTTGTCGGATCATAAAATCATAAGATATACAGATCTCTATTCTATTTTCTTTGCATTGAAGGTTTCCTTTTCATAACTATGATTTCTTAGCTTAACATAAAAACTAATTCAATATCATATCCTTACAATTTGTTTTTGTTTTTATAGAAAAGAAAAAAAAATGAAATGAATAAACTAAAAAGTAAAAACTTGCACTAACAAAAAGAAGAAGAAGAAGAAGGAGAAGTCAAGCTGACAAGTTAACATGAACGCTAGCGTTTTTAGGAGACCTACAGATGGGACACGTGTGGACGCTGGAGCCGCATACTCCACACAAGCACAAGTGTCTGCACGGTAACACCAACACGCACGACTCCTCCTCCCCGCAGTTCCTACACTTGCTCCTCCCCTTCTCCGTCGTCTCTTCCCCTGAGCTACTCCCGCAGCACGACTGCGCATCCTCCTCCTTCTCTCCGCGTGTGTCCTTGACCTGCGCCAGCACCTGCTCGAGGTTGTTGCGGAGGTGGTTGGCCGTGGCTTCGTTCGTCTGCGCAAGGTCTCTCCAGATTTGGTTCTCGATCGAGAGTGACTTCACGCGCTCCTCGAGAGCGTGGTTGATCTTGCCGATCCTCTCTCTTTCTTCTTCTTTGACCCGAAGCCTTTTGGCCAGCCCCTGCTCTATAGCCTCCATGATCATCCTCCCTTGCCTCTTCCTCTTCTCTTCTATCTCATACTTCACTCTCTCCATCTGATAGTTTTATCATATAACAAACAAGAATCAGAAACCATTCAATGATATAGACCTTTGCACCCCATTGATAGAGAGATACTTACATGATGGGAGACGAATCTATCGATTTCGTGTTGTTGGTGATTGATGTGAGAAGAGATATCAATGTCTTGCCCAAGAAACGAAAACGGAGTTGTTGTTGTTGTTGTTGTACTCGTACTAGTTGCGTTGTTAACGCATGATGATGATGACCTATGGTTCTGAAGAAGAAGATGATGGTAATCATTCCATCTCGTGGGAGACTCTCTCGGGCGTTTTCTCGTCGGGAAAGGGAAGAAATCACAGTCGAGGTTAGCACTAGTAGTGCCATCGGCGGCGTAGTAACCAGCGGTGGTCGGAATAGTAGTATCAGCGCCACCGCCGCCGCCGTACATATGAAGAAGAGGGGTTGTTGTATCGTCGGTAACGGGGAAAGGTAAAACGACGCCGTAAGCGGTTTGATGGGTGTTGCAGAAAGCGCCACTGGTTGGTGGTTCCGTAGTGGTGTTATTGCTGTTCATCATTAATTCCCTGCAAAGTACAAATAGTAAAGATTCAGTTGAGAAACTCCCCAAAAAAAAAACAACAACATGATGAGATGGGAATATTGAACATACCTGTTGGAGAAGAGTTGAGGAGGAGAGAGGAAGAGATTATGAGCATCAACGGCCATTGAAGAAGGGAGAGGATTAGAGATGATGACGAAGATGAGAAAATGGAGAGGAGGAAGTTAAAAAGAAGATAGAAAATTAGAAATGCATGCGTTTCGGTTTTTGTGGCTTTGATGTGCGTGAAGAGAAAGAAAAATGAAGAGAGCTTTGCTTTTTCTCTCTTTCTTTTTTATATACTATTTGTTTTTGTTTTTATTTTGGTGTGTGTGTGTGTGTGTGAGAGAGGAAAGACCAAATCGAAACGAACCTCAACCAAATGGTTGTTTCCTATTTATACACATCGATACGACGAACGTGAAGAGAAATTTAAGGCTAAAGTGATAAACAAATACTACTTCTTATCTCCCAAAATAAAAATAAAAAAGCCATGACTTTGGAAAAGTATTCAATTTTTCAAATCTCCTTTTTTTTTTTATTCACAGGGATTTTATTAATTTACCATTTTTCTTAAGGTTTTGATATATACACATATGTTAGTTTTGACTATATTTATTTATCTTGATTTTTTTTTTGGTAACATTTTTGCTCATTTGCTTAACACGTTTTCTCAAATTGAATTATATAATTATTATAATAAAAATTAACCTTTTCTTTGGTGATTTTACTTACCTAATGCTTTGAATTTGATTGAATTAAAATCTTGTTTCAATTGCATCGGTTATAGTGGAAAATATTGAAACACAGTGTATATATTTTTCAGTTTATTATTCTTACGAATGGGTAACTTGTATACCGAAATTGGCGGAAAAGTTATTGAGTCGTTTCTTTGTTACTTTTTTTTGGTCATAGAATTATTATTAGGAGAGTAACGGATTCGGTTTTTTTTTTTTTCTTTTTTTTTATGTAACTTGTAATGATCACAGTACCAATTAGATAGTGTGGATTGGTTAATTTTACCACCGTAAAAAAAAGAAGGAAGTTAATGTTGTTTTGAAGATAAATACAATCAAAACTCGACGCGTGTAAAAACGTTCATGCGTATTGCCATGTCAGCACTCCAGCGTGGCGAACAATGTTTGTACTTGCGGGACCCACAATATTGTCTATTGTACGGTCCGTTAAAAATGGGTAAAAAATCTTTACTTAATTTTTTCCTCTTTTCCTAAATATATTTATTATTTTCCTTTTATTTCGTACTAATTTGGCGCCATGTGATGCCACGTGGTGAAACATCCTGGCTACTTCTGTTTGACCCTTTGACCTTTTTTTTTTTTCTTTTTTTGTATCTTCAATATTATCATCAACCAAAGAAAAATAAAAATCTATAGTAAGTAACTAACTACGGTAAAACCTCTATAAATTAATAATGTTGGGACCATGAAAATCTATTAATTTATAGAGGTATTAATTTATCGATATAGAGAGATTTTCCTAATTTGAAAGTTTTTTTCAGAAAAATATTTAAAAATGAAATTTAATCATGATAATTAGTATTTATATAATCAATTACAAAAAAATAATAATTATTATGTCTTGAAAGAGAATGCTAACAATTTTTGACATAGTAAAATATTAGAAATAAACTCTAACAAAAACTAATGTGTCTATATATACATATATTTTGAAAATTTTACCTAATTATTAATTTATAATATTATTGGGACCATATATTTACAAAGGATTTTCAAAAAAAATATTATCTTATTAATTTATCGAAATATGTCTAAAATTACACTGGTTCCAACTTGGGACCAAAGAAATTTATTAATTTATAGAGATTATTAATTTATCGAGTATTAATTTATAGAGGTTTTATTGTATAATAAAAACCTTTTATATATTTTTTGCCTCAGTAAATAAATTATACTTTTTTCATGTGTTTATGTTATTTATATATAAGTTTTTTACAGACATATGTATTTGAAAGTTAAAAATAATGTGATATTATAGTATTAGAGTTCAATAAAATAATGAATAAAAGTACTGTGATAATATGGAAAACTAAAAAGATTTATAAAGTTTGGCTCTTATAAACCTGAATCAATTGGATTGGTTCAATTTATCACCCAATTTAATTTAAATAAAGATTGAAGTATCCATAAAAGAAAGGTGAAGAAAAGAGAGATGGAGACAGGTTCTTGTGAAGATGATATATCAGATAGAAAAGTATCACACAAGAATTAATTCCTACTTTAATTTATGTCCCTTTTACTCTATTTTTCTTCTTCTTCTTCTTTACAATTTTTTTGGGTGCTTTCTTAATTTTGTTCTTTGAATCTTTCCTACACCACAAGAAAAAGTTAAAACTAATATATATGCCTTTGTCTTTTAAAAGGTTTCACGTTTCCACCATCTTAATTAGTGTTATAAAGTCCAATTAAAAAAAGAAGAGAGAGTAGATTTTGAAAAGTAAAAGAGTTGCCATGGTGCACTACTACTTAGATACGTGCTTGGTTCTTTCTTCAATATATGAGGCGACCTACATTAACGACATATATTAACCATGATCATGACTTCAGAAGTACTATTTACAACATGAAGTCTTTTTCTAGGCAAGAAAACATTAAATCTCAAATTGTAGTTTCCTCTTTGATTGAATAAGGGGGCATGTGACATTGCACCTTGACTTTGGTTTATATGTTGACAAGAAAAATTGAAATCTTAACTTGTAGTTTCCTCTTTGATTGAAGAGCAAGTGACATTGCACCTTGACTTTGGTGTGTGGTATCCTTTTCTTTTCTCTTTAAACTATAACTTTGGTTCTCTTTCCTTTTTTTTTCTTTTCTCTTTTCTTCTTATTAATCTCATTCAACTTAAAGTTGGTGTTGGTGTTATTCATGTGATATCAACATTTCAAAAGAAAAATCCATAACCAATGTAAGAATCTTAAAGGGTGCCTTACCTAGAAACTTCATCTTTCCTTAAAGGAACCACTATATATAAAATTTTATTTTGTTGTGAAGAAAGAATTCATGCTTTTTTGAATTATATATACCAATATTCATCATATATATCTTTCTGATCTGTTAATAATATACGTACGTAATTGTTCGTGTATCAAAGTTTTTGATAACTGCGACTTTAATTATGCTTTTGTTCCAAACATCAATCATCTCACACACCTAGATCTTACAACAATTCAAAAAGAGGCTTCAGTGGATGTGTAAAGCTTCCCATTATAGACATGTGTATCATTAATTGTTGGGGCTTACTAGTGCATACATATCACATGTACTATGGTCCATACATGAGAAGCTCGTGACCTAACGTATTATACATTTATCATATGCACCAAAAACATCTTAACGGGAAGCTGGTAACTAAAGTACAATATGGATTGAAACTCATCATAAGTTAAATCATGGAGAGTAAGAATTTGCGATCTAATTAAAGATCTTTTCTTATTTTGCTTAGCTATATATTGAAGAATCTCTTCTCTCGATCCACTATGGCTTTCAACATTTACATATGGATGTATTATTGGTGTAATATCCTTTTCAAATACCGGATGTAAATGACAATTATTACGTGTGATTTTTTATTGGTAAACTATGATATATAGATAGATAGATGCATAAGAATAATGCCTGAGAAAAAGAGTTGGGTTTGAGAGGTCCCGATACCAATTAAAGATGTGTTGGGCCATCACTCTTTCTTGCTCTTCAAAAAATACCTTACTTAGCCGTATCATCATCGAAACTTAACTTTCATGCCCTTATATATACACATTACACAACACAACTTCTAGATTTTCTTTTCTTATTTTTTAAAAAATCGTTGCCCCATTAGGAGACAAGAGAAGAGGTTCTGCAAAAGACTTTAACTTGGTGTCATGTGTGGTTGTGCTTATGGACACTAGTGTGGTCCCTTCCCATTCTTTTTTATTTTTGTTCAAATTAAAAAAATAAAAATAAAAAATACTAAAAGATTGAACGAATGTGTAGATTGCATGATTCCCACTACTGCTGCTTTCAATCTCATCTTCTGCTGAAATGCATAATGAATTGATCCCACCTCCACTTTTAATTCGTTCAGACAAAAAAAAATACGATATATTATTATAAATGTATATGAATACGAGGAGAGTAATTCATCGAAATTTGAATTTAAATGTACTGACCTGTTACCATCAGATCATGAACCACATTAACTCCCAGCAAACAGACAAAGACAAATATGGTGGTGGTTGTTGTTGTTGTCAGTTCACTGATTCACTTTCACCAAATCAAGAATTGGTTAATCAGTTTTAATCAAAAGTAGAGATTAGACAACAGGTTATGTGTTCTTCTTAAAAAGTAACTTACACAAATCTATCACCACATGAGCCTACTTCAAGTCCCTACCTTGACTGGACCGATCAGTCACATTCGTACGATCCAAACAGAGTAAATGAGTCTCATTTTGGTCACTTGCAAACTTTTTTCTTCTTTTAATGGAGATTGCAGATGTACAATTATTAGCTCCTGCCAAGTGGCCGTGAGCTTTTGCTGTTACTGTTGGTGCTGCGTCCTCTCCAAGGCCTACGCATAGCACCATCCCACAAGATACATTCTTCTTCTTTCCCTTTTATATCAGATTTTAAAGCAAAACATTGGATACGAGATTTTCTACTTAAATTATAATCCAGTTCATCACAAGCTCGTGAACTAATAGATTGAAGATAACAACGACATTACGGTTTTATAATGTGTTTCAATGTTTGCCACTGATAGGAAAGTTGTGATATCAATAATATAGCTAGGGACCAGGCAAGCACCACATGACACAAATGGCATAAAGATACCTAGCCAAAAGACACAGCCTAATATTGAAGGTTTCACCCGATGTTTTTAGAACTAACAAAGAAGCAAATCAAAGGGATGAGATAAGCTAAGTGTTCCTGCAGGGGAATGGGCAAAACTAAGCGTTCCTAGACCCCCATATGTTCCTACAGTGATAGTTAGTTGAACAGTATTACCTCTTCGGACTGCAGCGTTTAAATCCTCCTAGGAGCCTATATGCTCACACAAAGTAGAACGCAAACACATAGCTAAACAAGGTATCTCTTTATTTCTTTAGCTGAAACCAAAGGGGTCTGCAACAAGCCATACCTTACTTGGGCTTGGAGAACTAGAGTAGGAACTAGGAAGATGACCTTCTACGTCTTCCAGCTGGACCCAAAGAGGAGATTACAGTGTTTACTATAACTTAGTACTATTACAATGGACAGACACTAGTCTGTAAGGAGCAACAACAATAGCAGAACCCACATGCAAACTTGGCAATTTGATACCCAAGC